CCTCCTCAGCCATTCCAGGCTGCAAAGGTACAATCCTTTATCCAGCAACCTGTCCTGTACACTCATAACTCATTACAATCCAGTAATAGTTTCTTCCTCTTACACTCTACTCCCTGTGAAAGCAGCTCTGACAGCTGGACATCTGTACAGATACAAGGTTTTCAAAGACAAAGTCAAAAGTCATGCATGTTTCCATGAGTTTTTATTTTATGTGAAATAACCCACACCAAATGCTCTAGCCTGAATGCCTAACTTACAACTCCAACACAAAGAACTGTCAGGCCCCCTTGTTGTCTAAATGGTTCCTCAGAGCCTCCCTGATATTGATGGCCACCTTATATGCTCCTCTGACAGCACGAGTGTCTGGCTGTTCCAACTGTGTGCCCAAGTGCTGTGCCTCAGGGCTCCATCCACGGGCAAAAACTTCGCCCTTATAAATTATATTAGCAGCAGCATGCAGCCTCCAGCTTGGGGATATGATCTTCCAAAAGATCCAGCTTGCCATGGAGACGCTTCCATCTCCCTTTAAATCTCTCAAAGGCACATTCAACAACCATTCAGCAGTGGCTTAGCCTGTTGTTGAACCACTCCTTACTGCTGTCCAGCTGCCCTATGTAAGGCTTCAGGAGCTAGGCTTGCAACGGATAGGCTGCGTCACCTAGGTTCACAATGAGCATTTTGACACTCCCCACTGTTATTTTGTGGTCTGGAAAGAAAGTGCCAGCATGTACAGGCCACTGTTCCTGAAGGTGTGTGAATCATGCACCTTTCCAGACCATCCCACATTTATGTCTGAAATGCCACAGTGATCCACAAGCAACTTGTAACCCCTTACAACTGAAGTACTCTGAGACAAATGCAGGACAATGAGATCCCATGACTCAGAGCTGGTTTCCCTAGCCCCAAGTGATGATTCACTGTGCATACCAGGCCTGTCATCGCCTAATGATATAACAATTCATCATCCTCGGAACCTGAATCTTGTGAGTCATCATCCTCCACTAGTAGGTCCATAAGTAGATATGCTGCCATGTGTGATGTCTTCTGCACACTGCTTATGACAAGGGCCAGAAGTCTGGGATCCATGTTTCTCACTACAGATACTTGAGCTGGTGCAAAAGTAAGCTATAAGCCTAGGGATGTCTAGGAAGAAAAGAGGTAGCTGGTGGGAAATTTTTCACATTCCCAACATGCCTAATGCTACCTTGTACATTCCCACAGGACTTCGTGAGTGAAGGGGATGCAAGGCTCCAAGTCTCTTCAGTGAACAGACTCTAAAGCTCTTTCTAGCTTTTTGCAGGATCACACTGTGCTCCCCACATCCTGCTTGATATTCTTGATGTTTTGCCTCTACTGCCTTCTCTGTTCTGTCAGTTTCTCTGCACTCTGCCTTCCCTCAGCCATACAATTACCAAAAACAATATTTAGCAAAAAGCTGCTTACGCCAGAAGGAGCGGCTGGTGGGAATGACCAGCGGGTGCCCGGTAGGAGCAGCAGCAAGTGACCAGCAGAGCAGCCGGTGGGAACGGTTGGCAGCCAGCCAGCAGAGCGACTGATGGAGTGGAACAAGACAGCTGTTGGAGCGTGGCGGAGTGGCTCATGGTAAAAGGCTGCAGCAGAATCGTACGGAGAGGTGGCGCTGTCGGCCTCGGACCACGTAAGGTGCCCGTATCAACCCAACTACTCCCCTTTTCACCATAGAACCCTGCAGGTGAACTTTTGAACTCTGGGCAGCACTGACCAGGGACAGCGACTTTTGGGGTGTCCCTGGTCAGATTTTGGGCTGCTGGACTCCAGAGACTTTTGGGGTGTTGGACTTTGCTCATAGTTTGGGCTATGAACTCTGTTTGTGGTATTTTCACAAGTTAATGCCATGTGATTTCTCTCTCTGTTTCATTAAATGTTTCTTTTCTACGCTCAGACTCTGTGCTTGAGAGTGGGGAAGCATTGCCTCTCAGAGGCGCCCATGGGTGTGTGAATTTCCCAGGCTACAGGGTGGGGGCTCGAGCTGGTTCTGTGTGAGATGAACCCCAGATATTGAACCCGGCCCTGGTTGCTGCTGGGCCTACCCGGCAGAATGGTTACAGAAAAAAGCCTGAGACCTCTTAGATGAAGCATGTCTGAGCTGCACAGTGGCGATGCCACTTAGGACAGAATATTATCTGTCAGGTTGGCAGCATTGTTCTTATGTATCAACCCATAAGCAGCTGAACTGTTGCTGTTGACTGATGTGGGTGTTGCAGGATGGATATGGAAGTCCATTTTCTCAGTCTCATAATAGCCTCTCCTCCTGTTCATTCCTTTGTGCTAGTGAGAGCTAAGCGTCATATGCTGAAAAAGTATCCCAAAAACTTAAAATTCATAATTGCCGAACTGTGGTCTAATATCACTGTTGTCTTCTTCTTATGCTTGATTCATGATTCACATGGAGTCTGTTTTAAGTCATTAATTAAGAATCACTTGCAGTCTGTCCCATGTGCTATCAGCTGCAAGATTGGGACCCAAAGGAAACTGGTGCCTGAGGGGAAAGCGTGCAGAAAGGGCCACTCAGGGTACATCTACACAGCAGGGCTTAACTTGAAATAAGCTATACAGATAGAGCTACATCAATCACGTATCTTATTTCAAAATAGCTTATTTCAAAATAGAGCACTCTTCCTCCAGCTTCCCTTACTCCTCGTACAATGAGGGTTACAGGAGTCCAAGTTAGAAGCCCTCCAGCTTGACAGTATTTTTAAACTATTTTGAAATAACTGCCTACTGTGTAGA